TACTGAAAATGCAAGTGCTTGCCGACCATAAAGGTGAAGAAGAGTTAAGGTTTTTGAAGTACTGAATAAATTATATCCAAACTAATTACGCGCTCAAAAAAGCGAAATAATGACAAGGAAAAAGTTACCCAGCTCATGAGGAAATTCCTCTGCGAGGACTGCTAGTGACACGCTGAGACCGCTAAGTAAAGATTCACTAAATGCAGCGCCCATACTGATCCCATCAATAAAGTTATGCAGACCATCTCCAAAAACGATCATCAGGGCCACAGTTTTAATAGCAGAATCCTTCTGTTCGTTGAAAGATATGTCGTGGTCGTGAACACAGATACCATGTTCCTATACATTGAAAACCAGTTGTATAACAAGAAAAAATTGGCATGAATCAATTAGAAAATGACAGCCGTAGATACAATAGCTAAATTCCGAGAGCGAAAACTGGGTTCAAAAATTTTTGTTAAATTTAGCTGAAACTGTAACTTAAGAAGATGCCATAAACTCTGCTTGCTCAGAGGAAAAATTATATATGTATATACTTGTCGTGACACGTTCAAATCATCTTCTTCATTAACGCTCTGAATGCAAGCCATATCAAAGCTTTCACGTCCGTTTTTTTGACCTCCACTTTCAAAAGCATCTTTCTTCACCTGGCCTGAAACGTACTATTAAACGGAGGTCAGTAGCCCTTGCACTTTCTCCACACAGAGAGATTAGTTTCTCAGTAAATCTTTAAAAGTCTTATTTTTTCTGCAGAAGACTTTTAGCAGCATTCCGATCAAATGAACTTTTTTTATGACTATTTATCAAATGTGTGACTTACCACCCAAAAGCAGACCATCTGTCGACCTTACTGATAAGCCTCCAACCTCGTTGCCCGCCTTTGCCAGCGACATATTTAAAGCTTCATTATCATTCTTCTGAAAAAAAAAAAAGCGGTAGGGAAACTAATTCTCCGCAAAAACTAATTTCTAATCGTGCAAAGGCGCATCTAGTCCTAATAAACCCAAAATCTTCTGCCGTCGTGAAGTGGTAGGCAGCACACGAGGAATTAGTATAGGTACAGAAGCATATTGACGTGACCAAAATTAAACGGCTTACAAATTTTACAGTAATTAAGGCAAACCTTTTTAGACTCCAAAGTTATTTTCATAAACTTGTCGCAGAAGAAGAATGTGTAAATACCAAAGATACAAAACAATTGAGTAATGATAAAATCAAAGTTCACGTCATCCACCAGTCCAAGCCCCTGTTATAAAAATCAAGTAAAAAACTCCAAACTAGTTTTTACAAAAAAACAATTCGTGATCTGACTTTAATATATAAATCAAAAGAAAAATAGAGAAACTTCAAGGAAGAAAATTGAACGTTCCCTTATTTTTAGAACAAATCACCACAAGATAAGAACCTGAGGCAAAAGATGTAACGTTGCAGAACTCATAAGAGAACCGACACCAACACCAACGAAGATTGTGATAAACCGGTTGTATGCTTTCTTGGAAAGGCCTCGGACAAAAATAATACCTACTGCTGCGCAAAGACTTACCACTGTTACGCATGTCATACCAAGGCACCATACTAAAAGCTTTAACTATGAAAAAAATTTACAAAATAGAAAACAAATGAACAAAAATAACAGATACTTTCCAGATCTCCACTGGTGATTGGAAAGTGGCTCGCGAAATGTCAACCAGATCAAATAAGTGTAATCAACCAAAAATATTACCTTAAACAACGAAAAAATTTAAAAAAAAATTAGAAACCCGCTAACGTGTGACAGTGGACGGCCGAGCACGCAAGAGAGTTGGCGGCGCGGTAGTCTTCAGTGATTCTTCATAAGTTTTCAACCACGATACGCAGTATGCCTGAGTTTCAAGGTCTGTAAGATTACTAGACGGAAATACCAAATTGGCGTCAGGACTTTCGTGACCATCCCCCAACGGCATTTGCAGGCTGCGGCAGTTCCAATACGCTAGAAAAAGAGAAAATCAACGCTAGTGGTTCTGAGCTTTTATTCGCCTGCGCGCACCTCTTGTAAGATGGCTTATAAGCGCACATCACACAGCTCTCCGTAGTTTCAATAAAACGCCTTGGATTTCCAAGCATAAGACTACACTAAACTACCGGTAAGTGTAAATTCCATCTACGAAAATTTTTAGGTTACGACCGCGGCAATTCATGCACCTACGCGACTTATCAAAAAATGAGCATCAAGAACTAATGCTCTCTCCACCTGTTCAAACCGGAACGATTTTCTAAGCCTTGAACATTGAAGTCCATCAGTTCTTCCCAAAAAGAAAAAGAAGTTCAGAACAAACAAACTACTCAAGGAAGAAAATTATAGCAACCCCTCCACACTTATACAATCCGTTTACGTTCCGACAGTTACTACTGCTTCCAACTTACCTTCGGAACAGATATCCTATAAGTGCAATTTTTTTAAAGACTAATCAAAAATAAATATAAAAAACACTAAAGAATTAGATGTTCCCGCAAAAACGGCGACACTTGAGGAGCCAAAATTTTTTAAGTGGGCTATTTTCTTTGCTAAGAATTCAAAACCTCAACTCCTTGGTCGAAAAAATGCAGACAGCAGTGTGATAACCCTAATCAGGTAACAAGTCTAAACGGCTGTAGGCCATTAGAAAAATCGACTAATCTCACGAACTCAAACTCTCAAATCACTCTCGGTTTTACAGCTCTATGGACTCCGCTCCCACTTCCCTACACAACTACTCTATACATGGTATTTAGTATATTACGTGCAATATATAGTATGCAAT